TTGGATGTTCAGTCCCAGGTACTGTGTCATGGTAGTTGCGACGGTGAGAGTGAGATTTCGGTGCAGCTCCCCTTCAAACCATGTCGTTATGGCGTCGGTGGAGCCTATGTAGAGGAGGTCATCGACGTAGACGATGAGTAGAATGTAGTCGGTGCCCTTCGTCAGTCGATACATCCCTTGGTCATGCGGTAGTTGAAGGAATCCGATGCGGATTAGGCGGGCGTGAAGGTGCTGCTGCCATAGTCTCGGGGCTTGCTTGATCCCGTACAGCGATTTCTCCAGCTGACAGACTTGGTTTGGGCCTGTGTTGGACCCGTGCGGGAGTTCGACGAAAATCCCAGCGTCGACGGGGGCGTAGAGGAAGGCGTTGGCAACATCGATTTGCCGAAGCTTCTTCCGGTTCATGGCGGCTATCGCGAGGAGAATCCGCAGTCAGGTATGTCGGCTTACTGGGGCGAATGTTTCCGTGAAGTCTCGCCCTTGCTCTTGGTCGAAGCCACGCACGACCCAACGTGCTTTGAATTTGTCGATTGTTCCGTCGGCTTTTGTTTTCACGCGGAAAACCCATTTTCCCGTGAGGATGGTCTTGTTGCGTGCCACTCCGATAGGCACGACTTTCCAGGTGTTGCGTTCTTGCAGCGCCTTTAACTCTCTGTCCATGGCTTCACGCCATTTTTCCCTGTGTTCCCCCCCCAGAGCCTGCTGGATGGTAGCAGGCTCCTTAGGTGGTGCTGCTCCGTGGATAGCGGTGATGATTCCCAGTATCTGCAGGCCACTCTGTGTGTAGCGGGGGAGATTTGTGTCCTCTGGATAAGCTGCTTCGTCTCCTGCTTCAGGGTCTGGTAAGAAATTTTGGTCCTATGCGTTCGGAGACGTTGGTGTCGACCGGTTGGGGTGTAACGTAACCAGTGTCAGGGAAGTCGAAGTAAGTTTCGGCGTTGACACTTTCGCGAGGATTTTCGTCATCCATCGGGATGGGCACGGAGCAGTATGGGAGTGGTCCTGCTTCCTCGGATGCGTTGTCCATGTTTTGCTCGTCCTAGTCAGCTTCGTCTGCTGCTGAAGCGAAGGCTCGGTTGCCACGGAAGCCACCCGTGAGGTCTCGATTTGCTGCCAGGTTGTCCAGGTACGTTTGAAGTGTGAGTCGCTCGTAGAAGATGACATCACGTGCTGCTACTGTTTCCTTCGAGTGGACGTAAAAAATCTTCCATGCATTGTAATGCTTTTCGATGCCCAGGTGTAGTCCCCACTGTGCGCGATGAGAAAATCTTCCGGCTCTTGCAGTGTGCGGGCCGAAAACTCGTAACAATTTTTCTCATCGCGCACAGTGGGGACTACACCTGAAAACTCGTAACAATTTTTGTGTTGCCCAGTTTTCCTGTCCACAGCAGGTGCGGTGATGCGTTGTTCGGAAGTGATGACGACGAGAGCAAGTTTTGCAGCATGACAGCGTGGTCCATCGCCTCAGGCCACTGGTGATTGGGCAGTCGCATGCCACGCAACAATTTGCGCATGGTGTTCTGGAGAGTTCTGTTCATCCGTTCTGCCACGCCTTGCTGTTGATGGGCGTAGGGAAGCGAGATGAGTTGCTTGATGCCTCGTTCTGCGAGGTACTGCCTGAACCTCTGGGACTGATATTCCCCTCCTCCGTCAGACTGGAAGCTTTTCAGCTTTGCTCCTGATTCTCGTTCTGCCACAGGTAGCTAGGCGATGAAGGCTTCGAAGGCCATGTCGCGACTTGGGAGATTAAGATGCCAGACGTAACGGGTGGCGGCGTCGATGAAAGTAATCACGTAATTATATGCTCCTTGTCCTTGTTCGCGAGTATACAGGATGTCGCTGTATATTTTCTCGAGTGGTGCATAGGCTGGCACGCTTGGATTGTGGTGAGAGACGAACGGTTGATGTGGTAAGTCAGCTTCGGGACAGGTAAAACATGTTCCGTCGGGTAGAAGGAGTGAGTCTTTGTCGAGTACTGCTGCCTTGATTGTATTGTTTAACGTGGTGTTGCTTGGGTGACCCAGTCGTTCGTGCCACAGGGATTCGCTCGCACGATGTCCGGGTGAGCGTTTGTACAGGTCGGAGTTGGAGTAAAGACCCGCGGTGAAGTTGGCGCTTCTGTGAACTTCACGTGGAGTGGGAGCTAACTGCTGCGCAGGAGTCGGTGGGGTGTCGTCGATGAAGATTGGTGCCGTCGAAGAGCTCGCGATTGGTGCTGTAAGTGTTGCTGTTGTTGCCGATGTTGTCTCTGCTGCTGTCGATGTTGTTTCTTCTTGCCAGATTGTTGCTAATGCCCGTTTTCTTTCTGCTTCTGGTATGGTATGTGAATACCAGAATCCTCCAGGACTGAAGTCGGTATCGAGGTCCGGTGGATGTGTCCAAGAAGCGAAGTTGACGATGGCGTCGCTGTCGGCGGTTCCTTGGTCCGGTACAAAATCAAGAACGAAGACGTTGTTCTTCAAGACTGCTCTGCCGATGTAGAGTCCTCCTTTACCGTGGAATAACTTGAACTCCTGAGTGGTACTGTCTGCTTCAAGATGAATACCCTTCGCCATCAATTGACTGACGCTCAGTAGGTTGTAGCCGAGTCCTTCTGCAATCAAAACTTCGGACATTTGTAGGATGACATTAGTTTCTCGAGACTGAAGTTGTACTATCCCTTGTCGTCGTGTGTGCAGGTTCTGGTTGTTGGCCACGGTGATGACAACTTCGCGCTGAAGTTGATGTTCTTGTTGAACGAAATGACTTGAGGAGCACATGTGTTGTCCGCAGCAACTGTCCAAGAACCAAGTGTCTTGCCCGGACGGCTCGCTTTGGGCGATGTCTGCATACGTCGGATTGGGCTCCAGTGATTCGCGGCAAGGATTCCTTTCATCGAGCTGTCCTTCTGGTGAGTAGTGGGGTGGTGATCTGCTGATGCAGGAGTCTGTCGTTCTTGTCATGTAGCTTACGATGTTTCTTGTTCCTTGTGCAGGTTGTGTTGTTGAAGATGTTGAAGGCTGCACTTGACTGGTGGGATGCGCCTGCGTAGAAGCTACTTGACTGCTTGAAGGCTGAAGTTGACGTTGCGGTGTGGTCGAATGTTGCTGATTCGGGCAGTGTGTGCGCGGATGTCCGGACGTCTTGCAAAGATGACAGAACGGTGGGACGTACTGTTGTACTTGTCGGTTGTCGTGTCGGTTGTTGTTGTTGTTGTTGTAGCGTCGTTGAGTGTGAAAGGCGAATTCTGGTGCTAACGCTTTCTTCTTGTGTCGTTCTTCGTGCAGGTCCATATCCTGCTGTTCAGCGGGAATTTCGGCGCAGAGTGCTGCTTCGGAGATCTTCCCATGAGCCCGAAGGAGTGCTCGAGTGGAGCACCAATGAGGACCAAGGCCGGCGATGATGACTGTTACAAAAGCTTCTTCGGATATTGATCCTCCGCATCGAAGGAGTCTGTCGCGCAGTCCGCGACAACGGCTAATATAAGCCATTCCCTTTTTGCCGGGTTTCATTTCCACTGTTGTCAACTGTGCCATGAGACGACTCTGGTTAACACTGTCTGTTGCTTGATACAGGCTCTTCAGGTGGTCGTACGCCAGCTCGGCGGAGTTGCCGTATCCTTGATAAGACCGAATGTTCTGCTGCTCGTTTGGCATTAAATTTCGAAGAAGTATCGTGTACGCCATCAGTGACTGATACGTATACTGCTGTTTCTCGTACTGTGTCCCGTGTGCTGGATATGGCAGGGACCCGTCGAAGAATCCGAGAATTTGCGCGCCCTCCATCATCAGCTCAAATTTGAATGACCAGGAATGAAAATCCTTCCTGTCGAAAAGCGTTGACGTTTGCAATTTTAGAACATGTTCGAATTGCGATTGCACCTGAAGCGCGTCCAGTGTCTTCTCTTGTCCAGGTGAAGACTGCGGCTGCGGCGCGAAACTGATGGAGCCGCGTTGAGGCCCGTACGGGGCAAAGGTGGGTTGTTGTTCCACGCTCATAGGATGAACCGTCGAGGCTCATCGGAGTTGCTCTGTTGTTGTTGTCGCTGTTGTTTGATTGCGCAGGAGCTGCTTGCTGGTGTTGCTCGTAGAAGGACATGAAGGAGAAAAACTTCTCCATCATGTTTGGGTCGAAGCTTGCTGATTGATTCCCGGGAGTTTCCGTTGACTCCGCAGCTGGTCTTGTTGCTGTGCCTTCTTCTGTCTGTAGGCCAGAGGCTGGAGGTGGAGTAGGGGTAGTGCCGAGAGATCCATTGGAGAAGCTCCTCTCATTTTGTGTTGCCATGTCTTGCGTTGTTGTAGATATTAAAGAGAATGATCTTGCCCTGCCTGCTCTCATACCATGTTGGGCTGAGAAAAGCCCTTAGGATCCTTCAAGGCTAAGATCAAGTGTTGAAGTAGAGATGTTGTAATTGCGGAAGCGTTTAATAAAAGTTGCTTGAACCACCTTGTACTGGTGTGTGAGAACAAGATAAGTTGATAATAGCAAAAGGATACATGCTTTTTATATGATTACAAAGGAATATGAAAAGTTCTACTTTAACTGTTTTTGCTGTTGCGGTTCGATACAGTGCCGACTCGGGTAACTGCTCAGTAACGAGTCAGTTATGTGTCCTTGCTGTCGCACTGTAATTTTCGTCAAGTCAAAGGTCAGCGACCTTTGACCTCCGCGTAACCTCCAGCGGTTGCGTTGGTTGACTCGTGTGTTTCTTCGCTGTAGTCAGCTCCGTTTCGTGTCGACACTTCGATACGACAGAAGCGTTTAAATTACTTGTTTCCAACAGTAGACAATGTTGAATAGTAGACAGGGGTTGTCTATTATCCGGGTGTCTCTTATAAACAGACTAGGCTCATTATAAGACACCTATTTGTGTGTACGAGATAAGACATATATGTCTTATAATCAGAACAGGGGTTTAGGGGTTTTCTTATAAACAGGGGGTGTTTTAAACGATCATTAGTTACTTCAGGGGGGTACATGCATACATTTATGAATCTCTACTTCTACCTAGCCCCCCTCAGTCACAGCCTCCTCACCTGCACTAACAGCAGGCTCCCTAACACTTCTGGCACTCGCCAGGCATGCCTAGCCGTCTCCCTAGGCTCAATCATGCGGTCAGCCTCAGCCGCTGCTCCGCTGTAGTTGGGGGTCTCCTGGTACAGCACCTCCAGGCCGGTTGCCACGGCCACCTCCCTCACGCCCTTCGCCTGCATCTCCTCCTCCTCCTCCTCCTCCTCCTCCTCCTCCTCCTCCTCCTCCTCCTCCTCCTCCTCCTCCTCCTCCTGTCAAAATACAATTCTACTTGTAGGCTATAGTGGGTTACTCAGTATGGGGTACAACCCCCATTAGGGTTAGCCTATACAAACCTGTACTGCCCTGCTTTCTACTCATTCCTGAACCATTCTCTCAATATGGTTTCAGAGCAGGTCCATCTGTAGGACCACTCGTTTAGGGCCCACCGTTAGTTCCGTTCTGCCCATTTTCCTACCCGAATCGCGCCCCTAGGCAGGCCGTTTTTCCTCCCCGAAACGCGCCCCTATGCAGGCCGTTTTTCTGCCCCGAATCGCGCCCCTGGGCTGGCCGTTTTTCCTGCCCGAATCACGCCCCTAGGCAGGCCGTTTTTCCTACCCGAATCGCGCCCCTAGGCAGGCCGTTTTTCCTACCCGAATCGCGCCCCTAGGCAGGCCGTTTTTCCTGCCCAAATCGCGCCTCTATGCAGGCCGTTTTTCCTGCCCAAATCGCGCCCCTAGGCTGGCCGTTTTTCCTGCCCGAATCGCGCCCCTAGGCTGGCCGTTTTTCCTGCCCAAATCGCGCCCCTAGGCAGGCCGTTTTTCCTGCCCAAATCGCGCCCCTAGGCTGGCCGTTTTTACTGCCTAAATCGCGCCCCTAGGCAGGCCGTTTTTCCTGCCCAAATCGCGCCCCTAGGCTGGCCGTTTTTACTGCCTAAATCGCGCCCCTAGGCAGGCCGTTTTTCCTGCCCAAATCGCGCCCCTAGGCTGGCCGTTTTTACTGCCTAAATCGTGCCCCTAGGCAGGCCGTTTTTCCTGCCCAAATCGCGCCCCTAGGCTGGCCGTTTTTACTGCCTAAATCGCGCCCCTACGCAGGCCGTTTTTCCTACTGGCGCGACTACAGCCCTTGATACTGCAGCTACAGCCCTGCTGGTGCAGCTACAGCCCTTGCTGCTGCAGATACAGCCCTTGCTGCAGCTGCTACAGCCCTTGCTGCTCCCGCCGCAGCCTCTTCTACTGCAGCTACAGCCCTGCTGGTGCAGCTACAGCCCTTGCTGCTGCCGCTACAGCCCTTGCTGCTGCCGCTACAGCCCTTGCTGCTGCCGCTACAGCCCTTGCTGCTGCCGCTACAGCCCCTGCTGCTGCTGCCCCAGCCCCTGCTGCTGCAGCTACAGCCCTTGCTGCTGCTGCTACAGCCCTTGCTGCTGCTGCTACAGCCCTTGCTGCTGCCGCTACAGCCCTTACTGCTGCCACTACAGCCCTTGCTGCATCCGCCACAGCCCTTGCTGCTACTTACTGCAGCTGCCATTCCTTACTGCTGCTGCTCCTTGCTGCTGCTGCTGCTACTTACTGCTGCTGCTCCTTCCTGGACCTACTACTGACCGTCACTGCCTGTCATGGCCTCTATCATGGCAGTTGCAGCAGCTAGGGGTGGACAGCGGCGGTCACTGCCTCTCCCGGACGACCCCACCCCTCAGCAGCTTCGTGAGTGGGTTCTTCAGCGAGCCCGTCCCGGTGGTGGGGGCTTTGGTTTTCTATGTACTGCGCAGAGGCGGCAGCAGAGTCAGCAAGAGACCTTCTCCCCGCAGGTTCTTAGTGAGTTGTTTCCTCAGCGATGTGTCACTAGTTCTGTCGAGGCTGCTGCACTAGGTTCTAGTGAGTCTGCTGCCGCACTAGGTGCTAGTGAGTCTGCTGCAGCTTTAGGCGCTCGTGCGTCTCCCGCCACAGGTCCTTCCTCAGCTGAGGCCTTGCACACTTTCACACTTGACTCAGGCGCGTCATGTTGCTTCTTTCGTGACTGCACCTCACTCACACCACTTGCTGCACCGGTACCGGTCTCACTGGCTGACCCCACTGGGGGTCCAGTAGTCGCAAGAGCCTCCACTGTCCTCCCGTGTCCAGCAGTCCCCTCCGGTTCTTTGTTAGGTCTCCACCTCCCCACGTTCTCGACGAACTTGGTGAGCAACGCTGCCATTCAGGATGTCTGGGTTGATACCTTTATTCCTGGAGGGCAGCGTGTGGCGATCTGTACATGCTCCCCAACTGGCCGTCACCTGGCTACGTTCACTCGACGGCCTGGGTCCAGTCTGTACACACTGACCATTGCGTCTGCACAGGTGGCTGCGGCAGGTCAGGTGGCTGCGTCGAGTCAGGTGTCTGCGTCTGGTCAGCTTGCAGCGTCTTGCTCGTGTCGGGTACTCTCCCACCAGACTCTCCTCTGGCACCACCGCCTCCGTCACCCCTCCCTACCGCGTCTCCGTGGTATGCACTCCCGTCTCCTTGTCTCTGGCCTTCCCAGGTCCCTGCCCTCCCTCCCGCGCTCGCCTGCCCCGCCGTGCCTTCCCTGCGTCGAGGGGCGGCAGCGCGCCGCTCCTCACTCCTCGTTTCCTCCGACCACTGCTCCTCTGCAGACTCTCCACATGGACGTTTGGGGCCCAGCCCCCGTCGGTGGAACGGACCAGGAGCGCTACTTCCTGCTGGTTTTTGACGACTACACACGTTACACCACTGTCTTCCCCTTGCGGCGCAAGGCGGACGACAGCGGTGTTTTGATCCCCTAGATCCGTGCTACTCGTCGACAGCTGCGCGAGCGGTTCAGTCAGGACTTCCCAGTCCTGCATCTACACTCTGACAGGAGCGGTGAGTTCTCTTCTGACCTCCTTGCGGAGTTCTGTCGAGACGAGGGCATCGTCCAGTCGTTCACGCTTCCGGCCTCTCCTCAGCAAAATGGGATTGCTGAGCGTCGCATTGGCTTGATCATGGAGGTTGCTCGTACCTCCATGGTCCATGCGGCTGCTCCCCATTTTCTGTGGCCGTTTGCGGTCTGATATGCTGCGCATCAGCTCAACCTCTGGCCTCGGGTCTCTGAGCCAGAGACCTCGCCCACACTCCGGTGGACGGGGAAGGTTGGCGATGCGTCGGTGTTTCGGGTCTGGGGCGCACTCTCCCTTGTTCACGATCCCACATCGAACAAGCTCTCCTCTCGCACTCTCCGCTGCGTCTTCCTTGGCTTCCCCACCGACGCCCCGCCGTGGCAGTTTTACCACCCGCGCTCGCGTCGAGTCTTCTCCTCCCAGGACGTCACCTTTGACGAGTCTGTCTGTTACTACAGGCTACACCCGCACGCGTCCCACCCGGTCCCCCTAGCGCCTCTTTTCTTGGTACCAGTCCCCCCCCCCCCCGGTAGAGCCCCTCCCCCCACAGGGTCCTGCTCCCTTAGGTGTGTCTCAGGTAGACCCACCCCCCTTGGTTGAGCCTTTGGAGGTCTCTTCTGACTCCTCTGGCCCGGCTGAGGGGGGTGACCCCGCCGCTGACGACACGGCGGCCACTCGCCGCTCTCCACGCTTGGAGACCCCCCCTGGTTTTCCGCCTTGGCCGTCTTCACCGCCTCCGCAGCCTTCTGCTGTGGACTCTGGAGCTGAGACTGGTGGCGCTGAGTCTGGGGGTGCTGAGCCAGAGGGTGAGGGTTCTGGGGGTGCTACGACTGGGGGTGCTGGTTCTTGGGGTGCTGCGACTGGGGGTCCTGACTCTGGGGGTCCTGTGAGTCCTAGTGGCGGTGGAGCTGTGGGTGACCCTGCTGGAGGTCCTGGAGCTGGACAGCCACCCCAGCCTGACCTACTTGAGACGCTCTCGCCGCAGGCGGTTCGTGAGTGGATCGTTCGGCGAGGTCGTCCTGGTGGTGGAGGGTACGGTCTTGCTGGTGCTGGAGCTGCTAGTCCTGGAGGTACTGCTGGTGCTGGAGGTACTGGAGGTACTGCTGGTGCTGGAGGTGCCAGAGCTACTAGTACTAGTCCAACACCAGAATCGCACGCCTCGCGTTGTGGCCGCGCTGGGGGTTCAGATAGGGCAGCACCTCCTTGGTCAGGCAGGTCTGCACAGCGTTCTCGTCCATCCACCCGTTGTCCTGTGCTTGGACCACGATTCCTGCCAAGCACATAGGGGATAGACGGGCGTCAACTAAGGAGGGCAAGCTCATCAGGCTTACGGCTCCCGAATTCCTTGAGCTTACGTTCCGGAATCTCACAGTTGGGCACGTTCTTCAGCTTGAACCAAACCCACGGGCGCAGCTTCTCCCCGGATGCGGTGCACACGAGCATCACCGTGAGCCGCGTCTTCTCGTATCTTGCATTGCGGATTGGGACCGAGCGCGCGCCAAGGTGCTTGATTGTCCTCTCGGCCGACATCTCAACGAAGAGTGGCGTCTGGTCCGCGCACTCTGCAAAGGGAACACACGCCACGGCAGGAGAGGATGGTTAGAAACAAAGGGCGAGGAACATGCAGTCAAGCATCGAGCGCGAATCCAAGGGCTTTACCACTCACCAGCCGATAACCGTTGGCCGACCTTGGTCTTCACACGCATGACCAGGTTCCAGCGGTCTCGGAAACGCTGGCTCCAGTAAGAGCTCGTGTTCCAGTTCTTGTCGGGTGGTGTTTCTTCATCCACTCGCAGCTCCACTTCTGGGTGTCTTTCACCGAGATCGCCACCCCATTAGCGCGCTGCAGGCAGATGTAGTGGTACAACGCCGCCTCCATGTCGGGGTAGTGTGTGTGGCGCCCCCCCCCATGCATCCGCTTACGGCAATTCGCCGCTCCCTTGTAGACACCCGCAGCCGCCTCCGCACACCAGCGTCTGATGCATGCGATGGATGCGGTAGATTCCAAGGATGTCTTCTTCAAGGAGCCGAGCTCGTGGTAGCGGCGCGCCCACTTGAGCTTCTCGTGTACGGTCCATCCGCGTCGCCTTTTCTTACTGTCCTTACTGCAAGGGGAAGGTGGACGGGAGTTGGGATTATGGAGGGTGGGGTCTTTCGGCTTCGCCTTCTCAAGGAATGAAGGAATCGGGCCTGCAGCCTCCGCGTAGTCATCGTCGCTGTCGAGCGCCTCATTGACCACGATGTCGTCCTTGTTTGGCGTGGCATCCACATCTGCGGGCGCAACAGCATCGACATCCGCTTCCGCCTCCTCTTCCGTCCTTGCTTCCGCATCCGCCTCGTCGTCAGACTCCGCATTCGCATCCACCGACGCTCCCGTTGCATGCACCGCTGCCTCCGCGTGCTCACCATCAGCATCGGCACCCTCGTCGTTGTCCGAATCACCAGCCCGCCACTCTTCCACTTCGTCGTCACTCCCAACCGGCTGATTCCACCATTCGTCCTCGTCGATGTCGGCAGGAGCTATTTCATCCCCCGAAGCGCTGTCATCATGGCTGTTCTCCGGCCAATCCTCCTCGCCGAGTTCTTCGTCGCCATCGT